GCAGCGACGGGCTTGAAGCTGCAGAAAGACACGGAAACAGCTGCTGCTGCTGCTGCTGCAGCAAAGCTAGCAGCAGCAGCGGGCCCTCATTTAGAGTCCCCATGGGTACAGGAGCAGCAAGCGCGCCTCCAGGGCCTGTGAGCATGCTGCCGCAGCATGCTGCTGCTGCTGCTGCTGCTGCTGCTGCTGGGCGGCACAAGGCTTGCTGCGGTGCTGGCCATTCCTGCTGCGGCTGCGGCAGCAGCTGCTGCAGCGGAGGCAGCAGCTGCTGCAGCAGCTGGGAGTGCCTTGACCGGAGAAAGGCGCCCGATGGATCTGCAGCCCCCGCTGCTGCTGCTGCTGCTCCTGCTCCTGCTGCTGGTGACAGCAGCAGCAGCAGCAGCAGCCCTGCGGACCCGGAGGGCCCTAGCCTCAGCTGTCCGTACACCTTGATGGACGAGACAGCAGTGGCGCTGCCCGCTGCTGCTGCTGCGCTGCAGCAGCAGCAACAGCAGAAAGCCGCCCTCCCAGCAGCAGCAGCAGCAAGTGTGGGGCCCCACAGCTCTGCTGCGCGCTCCGTCTTCTCCGGCAGCCTGCTGCTGGCTGGGCTGTCTGTACACTCCGTGCTCGAGGGCCTCACTTTAGGTGCTGCTGTTAATCCCAAAACTGTTGCTGCTGCCATTTTGCTGCACAAGACTCTGGAGGCCTTCGCCGTTGGCAGCTCGCTGCTGCACGGTCAGTTCCTGCTGCTGCTCCTGCTGCTGCTCCTGCTCCTACTGCTGCTGCTGCTGCTGCGTTGCTGCTGCTGCTGCGTTGCTGCTGCTGCTGCTGCTCTCTCACTGTTACTGCTGCTGCTGCTGCTCTTTCACTGTTTCCGCTGCTTCTGCTGCTGCTCGTCTGCTGTTTCTGCTGCTGCTACTGCTGCTGTTTCTGCTGCTGCTGTAGCTGCCTTTCGTTGCGGCCGCTGCCGGTGCTGCTGCTGCTCCTGCGGCGGCTTCTCAGCCCGTTCTACTTTATGCGAATTCCTCTGCTGCTGCTGCTGCTGCTGCTGCTGCAGTGGGCGCAGACCAGACCTGCTACATTATCCAGATGCTGTCGTACGCCTTGACGGCCCCACTCGGAGTTGCTGCAGGACTATTCATCCAACGCTCTGCTGCTGCAGATGCACCAGGTTTGCTGCTGCTGCTGCTGCTGCTGCTGCTGCTGTTGTTGTTTGTTGCTGCTACTGCTGGTGTTGCTGCACGTGGTCCCTGCTGCTCGTTCTGAGGTGTACGTACACCCCACTTCCCTCGGGTGTCCGCGAGCTGTCTGTACACCCCAGCCCGTCAGGCAGCAGACGCGCGGACTTGACGAATAAATGAAATAAAAGAATTGAAATAAATGAATAAATTGAGATAAATAAATAAATCAACAATTTGACAATAAAATGAATTAAGTGCATCAAAGTAGCAACTAAAGAATTGACTTCACTCAGGCTTGAGCTGCCGCGTTGCTGCGCTGCAGGCGGCGACCTAAGCAGCAGCAGCAGCAGCAGCAGCAGCAGCAGTAGCGTCGGGGTGTACGTACACTTCCTGCCCGGGGCCCTCACGGGGCTCGGCGCGGGGGCCTTTTTGCATGTGGGGCTTCTTGAGATTTTGGCCAGCGAGCTGCAGCGGGGGAGAAGACAAAAAAGAAAAGATTTGCTGCTGATGGTGGGCCTCACTGCTCTCGGGGCCCTTTCCATGGCCCTCCTCTGATGCTGCTGCTGCTGCTGCTGCTGGCGGCGGCGGTAGGCT